CATGTTCAATAGCTATGTTAGTTTACTGGAGGGTGTATATATATATATTATCCATTAGATATCCATTATGGTTATTGGTTAAGTTATATATTGTCCATTTATTGCAGCGCACTACAGCGCGTTGAAGCGTCTGAATAGATTGATTTGGGCAGATAAACTTGACAAGTCGGCAATGATATACCTTTTGAATACGTCGTTTTTCTAGAAATTTTAATTGTGGGGATTCAGGGGTACACAGTTTTATATTTTAGTTATATGGTATTTATCACATATATATATATACATATATGACAAAATATATACCCTTATTTTTGTGGTACCAGTTCTCTATAAATATATATTCAGGGATACTAAAGATTTTTTGGGTACCCTTTTATTCCAAGTTATAGAATTTGAAACATGGAGTCCGCTGCCCAGGTGAAACTACCCATGAGGAGCAGGTAGCGTTGGCAGCGGCCTTGAGTCTGACTGGGGAACTCTCCGGGAATTGAACATGGCAATAGAACATCCACCATTTATAGATGATTTTCCCACTAAGAGCCTCGATTTATATAGGATTTCAATTGCCATGATTACCAAAGGGTAGTATATGAATGGTATTGTTACCATTCGTAATTCTTATTATCAACATGTGGATGATGATTCCCAATCAACTGTTTGCTAGCTTCACTATGTTTTGATTAACTAGCTGTATGCCCACTTATGGTAGGGGCCGGTCATGGTATCTTCCAGTTTCAGAAGTTCAAACAAGTTCACCCGGGATATCAATTTTCACCATCAACGTGATTTTTTTGTTGACATCCAGTATCGGTTACACTTCAAAACTCAGAAATCACCGGTTGTGCAATGGGAGGGATGAATCCTTGGCCCAAAATTGCTAAAACTATGATTGTTTGATAGATACTTATAGCCTGTAGCTAAATCTAGTTATTTAATCTTAATAAGTTATCATTGCTAATCCATTGCTAATCCATGATGATTTGCCATTATCCAGCTATAGCCACTCGCTCTTAACAAATATGAACCATTATGAACCACTACTAATCACTATATGAATCACCATTAATCCTTATTAATCACCATTAACCCCTATTATTCACCATTAATCCCTATTAATCACCATTAATCCCTATTAATTGCCGTTGATCAAAGTGAATCACTGCGAATCCATGGCCTCCGTTGAAGGTGGCGCGACGAAAGAAGCTGTTGAGCGACTGGGCACAGATCGTGTAGCTTGGCGGCGCGAGCGATGGGACCACATGGGTGGAAGCGACACGATCTAAAGATGCCTAAAAATCATTGATAGATCTAATGGTCTATAAGATATATTCATAGTTTATAATAGAACTTTTTATAGATGAAAATTCAAAGATTATATGATACACACATATATATATATAGTTATAATATAAATATAATATATTGATAGATGATAATATCCATAATTTGATGAGAATAGCCATTACTAGATGATAGTAACATGCAGTCTAATAGTTTATAATAGATATAGATGATAATAGCCATGATTAGATCTAGCAGGGATCATACAATAGATGATGATTATGTCTATAGATCATTTATCTCGTGCATCTAATAGATAAGTCTAATAAATGAACCGAACAGTGTTATACATTCATGTTCATCTATTGATATGTCCAACATGTTCATGGTACCCTTGCCGCGTCTTAGTTATATCTCAATATACACTGTCTTGCTATATTGCTTATTCCATGTATCTGCACAATTTAGAGCGAGGGCTGACGAGGTACGAGGTGAATCTTTGCAATTTAAGCGAGGTGAATTAGTTAAATTCAGAAAACGAGGTGGGCAGAAATTGCTTTCAAAGCATGTGCAACGAGTGAAAAAAAACTTTTTCGGGCTCCAGAAAGTTTTTTTTGTTCTCATCAGAGTGAAAAAATAGAAAATTAAGGGTGCATTCAGACCCGTGAAAAAAAACTTTCTGGAGCCCGAAAAGTTTTTTTAATCGTAATTCAGTCAGTGCCCTGTGGTGGCATGCCCGGTTGTTCCAGGACTTCCGTATTTGTTCTACAGTGAAACCACTGTTTAAGAACCCACTGCATTAAGAACCTCAGGGGCTGGATTGCTGGATTCAACTCTGTCTACCAGCTAATTGAAATAAGAACCCTAGGGAACCCTGAAATTTTGGTCAATAGTTCTTATTCACCTTTCCCAGGTAGCGCGACTAGATTCTAAAATTGCTAAAGCTTGAGGTGTAGCGGGGTATCTTGGTGCTGCTGCTGCAGCTTCTCTTCTCTGGGGTCGAATTTGGGGGGAATCGAGCCCCTGCAAATCCGCTTGTAAAAGAGGCATCTCGGAAACAGGAAAAAACTTTTTAGGCCCTGAAAAGTTTTTTCAGCATCCCCAAGCCTCTGGAGCCCAGAGCGTTGCTGCAACGACGACAAAGATAATTCAAAAAAGTTCAACCCAAAAGGAGGCAGAGGACTAGTTCGAATGGCTTGCGGTCGAGAAAGAAATGGGACGAGGGCTGAAATCCGTTTTGAATGTAACGAGGCGAGGACTGAAGATTTAATCAGAGGGGAAAAGTAGATTTAAGACGAGGAAACCGTCTTGAATTTAAAGTAAATTTTGCAGATGTATGTCGTATCTACAACACTATATATTTTGCATGTGGGGTATATTTAGATAATGGTTGATATATTAATATGATTTAATATGTGTTTTTTGACATGCTAACAACCATAGTGTATATATATAGTTGGTGAGTTGTAGCCCATTATTCCCATTCCCCATCCTGAGGGCACACGAGAAGGACGTTCTTGGCGGGGTGGGGTGCAGGACGTTGGGCGCTGATTGTAAACTTCTGAATTATTTTTGGATTATGTTGTTTGTTGCCTTGAATGTGTCAAAAGCACAGAGATCCGCAAGTGCGATATCGGCAAAAAAAACAATACCTGTCATCGTAACGCATCCAGCGTCAGAAAGCTATGGGATTGTCGTCGTTTGCCAAGAGAGTTGGACTCCGCAGATGACGCTTGGCTGTTGATGACACGTGCCATGGATGAACATCTCCCGACGAGATATGCAGATTATACAAAGTCCCTAATGATGATAATGATGGTGGGATGACCATGCCCCATTAATCCAATATAACTTGACTCTTGACCATGGTACATATAGGCTTGTATCTATCGCCCTTTTTATATTGAATGGTTGACCAAAAACTCCACGAGGAAACCCAAGTTTGAATACTAGACGTAGTGGTGTTGAGCAGGTTACTGCAAAAGTGTTACAGTAACCGCAAAGATAAGCAATGGGAACTTTGTCAGCAATGAAGATTGGAATATGAATGAGGCACTGGCTGATTTAGGGGGAGTTTGAATGATTCTATCACTCAATGGATTGGTTTCAGCGAACATCTACAGGAAACCATGATATACCGCACGAAATATAGTGGTTTCCTTTATATAAGATGTCCCTTAAATTTACCTCCGACATTGGATTCTGGATGGTCGTAGATCTTCAAAACGCTCCATGTTTGAGCCATGGCAGTCATTTGTTTGCCGAGAAAGGCGTGGGATTAGTCTTCATCCCCGATTCGGCCAACAGCAAACATGTCAATAAAACCCATCAACAAGTCCTACAGGATGGGGCCCCAGTTCGTTAGCTAAGTTGGGTTATAAACCAACAGGCATCACTGGTTTTTAAAGATCAGTTGATGCTTTCCCAAGCCGCTTATAACGGCCGTGCAGGAGCAGATGGCGCTGAACCCCCGCAAGGCCTTTGCGGTGCGCACACCAAATCTGGAGGACGCCACGATCCACGATGGGCCCATGAAAAGTGGTGATTCAATGGGATAGTGGTGATATTTCATAATGATAGTGGATCTTCAAAATGATGGTTTATATATATATGTAATTAATTAATGATATTTCAATGGGACTATAACCAACCATAATGAATCCTTAGCCAAGTATCATTTTTCTGGGCTCATCCCAGATGATACATCAACTGTTGTTATTCAACAATCCCTTTCCCCTAATATGGTTTAATAGTAAACACAGACATTTTCCGGTGGTTGATGGTTTCAAGTGGCGATGTCCAAAAATGATGTAGAGAATCTGCCTGAACGGCAAGTTTGATAAAGGTAATGAGAAAACTCTAGGCATAGCCCACTTTTTGACAGCCTGACAGTCCTCAACATTTTCTCCCAACAGTCATCAACGGCATCCAATTACCCTCTGGTAAACATACAAAAACTATGGAAAATCATCCTCTGTAATGGGTAAATCAACTATTTCTATGGCCATGTTCAATAGTTATTTGACATAACCAGAGAGTAAGTAACAAGTTCTTTCCATGGGAATGATGGATGGTTCGGCGAGTCGCCAAGTCTCTTGGGCTTAGTCCACTATTTCCCTGTTTTTTTGGTGAAATACTTAGCCTTTGGTAAAGTAACATAGCTATTGTAAATGGCCATTGAGTTATTGAGTTCGTTGATTTGCCTATTGAAAGTAGTGATTTTCCATCGTTTGTTGGTCATGTTTACCAGAGGGTACAGGTTCATGGGTCAACCCCTTAACGTGGCCGGCACCACTTCGATACTGAGGGGCACCTGGATCATGATTCCTACCATACCAATAAACCCTGTTAGCCAGAAACATAGCCGTTGACATCCGTTTATGACATTTAAAGTGAATAGAGCCGTACAAGGGTAGTAAATGAGTATGGTATATGTATGTTAATATTGGTCGTTTTTAGTTAGATGAACCATGTATGATCCCACTAGATCCATCTTCATAAGCACCAGAATTATGCACAATGCACCATATCACATGAGTATTTTGTTCTTAATGCATGATCCATACGTTTTCACATTTATAGCATTGTTCTAACGTTAATTATAACCCATGGTTCATTAAGATTAGAGTTCATATAAACCATGGTGTTTATAACATATTACCCATGGTTTCATTATATGACCCATTGTTGGACATTAAAAAACCCATGGTGAAAACACCATGGCCAGCCACCGCAACGAATGTCAGCGGTTAAAGGATGCGTTTTATCTCATTGCCGTGGCCTATGACTTGGATGGCAATGGCTTGTGCCGCGGCGTATTTGAACCATGGGGATGTTGGGGATGTTAGAAATGCCATACGAAACATGGGAAAAACCATGGGAAAATCCATGGGAAAGCTTGGGAAAACTGATTGCAATTGGCCATTTCATATAATTTATTCCAAGTCAAAGAAATGCCCCGAGGTCAGGCTCATGATACGCAATGTGATTTAATGGATGATACAATAAACAATGCAACAATATATAATGGGGTTGATTCGTTTTTGATTAAATGGCAATGCGGGTGTACCACTCATTTGCCATCATTTATCAATAGCGATGGATAGTGGGAAGTGTTATGATAAACTGTGGCATTTCGTGGTACACACCATGGTATCACAGCGAATCTGTTTTGTTCCTGGCGTGTTTGGGGGCCATGCATTGAGGATGATGAGGGCCATGGGATCATTAGTGATTGGGATAAACCATCTGGCCGAGTAACCATTCTACCACCAACTTACAACCGACCAATGGTTAGTAAACCCGAAAATTGAATTATGTTGCCCCATAGAATCTAACATAGAAAATAACTATGTAGCTATATGTAGCTATTTCCTTACCACCCTGGTGAAATATCGCAGTAAAAGGCCCTGGCGCCTCAGGTTGGATGAGGATGAAGTGCTCCTGATCCTGGATCGGTGCCAGTTGTTGGATGAGTTTGGGTACCCGGACCGTGGATGGTGGTGATATGTTGTGATGTGTTGACCCACTAAAAAACCGAAAAAACAACGATGTTTCAACAAAGATGGGTTTAAACTCCAGAAAACAAGGACATTAAACAAAAAGAACCATATATCATTATATGAGTTTTACACAGAAACCCGAAATCGAACCAACCAAATTAGGACTTTCACGCCAACATGATGATTGAATTCGCCCAAACCCGGTGGGATTTCTCTCGCCACATTCCGTTGGAAGATCGATACGACCGCTGGGATCGTCCTGTAGGTCTTTGACAAACAAATCGCCAAGAGATTTGTCCAGGTATTGTTGAGGGTCTTTATTATGTATAAATACAATGCATGTGTATGTGTATCATACATGTTCATACAATATATGTATAATATATATATATATACATAGATTTATGAGCAGGTCAACCCTGAACAATCCTTCAGATAGTTTGGTTTGTCTGAAACTAGGCCACCCAAGATCCAATGGTTGGGTTTTGCTTTCCCTCTTGTTTTTCAGGATGTTGTTTAAGGATTATCATACCGGTATACAACACTTTCAGACACATCTTAATATCATATCAAATTGGTAATGATATATATATAATATATCCATGTAATATAGTAATATAGATAATTTATCATTATATCCTCACCAAGACTCCATGTTTGTTGTTTAGTTGGGGGATACACCATCATATTATCTCTATTATTGTTGATTGTATCTCCATTATATCCCCATGAAACATCCCAATGATGTCCCAGTATGTATATATGTACAGTACGCCTATTATTCTTGATTATATCTCCACTTGATCCCCGTGATATCTTATTCCAATGATTTTCCATTTACCCTCTGGAAATTTAACATAGCTATGGAAAATGGATCATTTTTAGACGATTTAGCTATAAAAAGGCTGATTTTCCATAGCTATGTTCGTTTACCAGAGGGTAATATCTCCTATCTCCATGAAATGTTTTTCTGGCAGTTCCGAGGAATTTGACCCCGACGAAGGTCAGGAGTTTCTTCCGGACCTGGGCGGCAGGCGCGCGCAGCGCGCGCGCATTTCGGTGGGGGAAATGATGCCCAAATGGGCTGGGTTGATGGATGCGATTGATGTGTTTTTTTTAATTATGCACCAAAATGAGTCAAGATGGAGTTTGAAGCATCAAATATTGGAAGATATTGGGAGCTGGCCCAATTGTGGATGGTGGTCATCAAAAAAGTGTGGCTGATGTGCAACGAACAACGCAAGATGAACTTCGGAGAACGATCCGGGGATCCGGGGGTTCATCACCAGAAGTTGTGATTTTGTCGCAACTACAGATGAGATACAATCAACGAAGAATTAGACTGAACCCACGAAAAAAAAAAAGGTTCTGACACCCAAACGTGGAATTTAAGCCCTAAAAAAGATTGCAGGAATTGTTTTTTTCCTCTGAAGATGTTCACTGCTCCGGGCATGGCTGATTCTGTACCCAGCATAAATTTGAGCATCACGGAGCCATTTTTTTCAATCTGGGCCTCCGGAGATATATTAGGAACAAATATATCTGACAAATAACTGATATATAAAGTGTTGGATGGTTTAAGAACAGACAACCAATCTTCGGAGATATTGGAAACGAGTCAGACTGTTTGTCATAGTTTCAAACAACCAGCTGACAGGACTGCCCTACTGGGATGCTCTGATCATCACTTGGGTATCCAAAAATCATCCAAGTCATTACACCATTTGTTATCGAAGGCCATGGTTCTACGGTTGTCCAATTTTTAGAACGATTCATCAACATCCCAACCTTGGCATCCAGGCTGCAACAGCATCATTGGGCTCAGCATGGGAGCAGATGACATTGCGACTTGCCATTGGCACCTTTCAGCCCGACCAATGATGGTGGGGATGGTTTATGGCAGGTTTCCCACATGGATGATATTATGGGAATACTGTGTTTTTTTTTTCCGTCTGGCCAAAGTGGGGATCTATTGTGGATATGAATGATCAGTGGTGAATTAAAGTAAATCCCCATTCATATCCACTGGAAAGTCCCACATTTAAATCCACTGCCCAGTGAATCTACTTGGGAATCACCACTGTTTTCAAAATGGGGATTTACCATCTGGTTATTTAACATAGCCATGGAAAATCCCTTATAAATGGAGGTTTTAATGGGTAAATCAACTATAAATGGCCATTTTCCATGGCTATGTTAAATAACCAGAGGGTAACTCCGAAACAGTTGTGATGCACCAAGGATGGGATACACAACGGGGATGTCCTGTAATCAATGGCGGATTAGCCACCAACAATGGGTGACCTCAAGGCGAGTCACCATATGCCCGGATGGTTTGCGCTCTTTTCATTTTCTGATGGGAAATACCCTCTGGTAAACTAACATAACTATGGAAAATCACCATTTTCAATAGCTATGTTAAATTACCTGCGGGTACATAGTAATCTACCGGAAATATCTGGAAATCTATTTTGTTTTGGAGCCCCTCAAGCAAACCCATGGCCTGTGTTTTCCCCCTGGGTCAATGTCATTCTAGTTTGGCCTTGGAAGAAGTTGAGACTGTCTGCATCTTTTTGCTATATTTAATCGGGTTCAACAGGCACAGGATATTACATATATATACTTTATATATACATATATATATATATACATGGACATGTGACATATGCATATAAACGATATATACATATACATCTTCTCTGGCAATCTAACATAGCAATGTCAATGACGAATGGAAATAGAAACATCATATTGACATATTGACATATTGTCCCATGTTTGTCCATTGTTTCCATTGTTCCTATATGGTTTTAGGGGCCTCCCCTTCTCTTCCCCAGGATGATGGAATCGGCTATGAGGAGCAGGGAAACCCAGGCAGCCACCTTGGATCACGTGCCGAGTCGTGCCGATGGTGCTGAAGACTCAGTTTTTGTTTAAGGGAAAACATGGGAAAACATGGGAAGACATGGGAAAATCATTCCGAATTGAGTTTTCTTGATTGAGTTGCAGATGTATGTCCTTTCAAATCCACGCGGATATTGGGAAGCTCAATCAGCTGTCGATCAAATCTCCCTATGCTCTAATCAACCCTCATCATTATAGCTGGTTCAATCATTTGCTTATTCAATATGTCGGTAAACCATGGTTAACCCTTATTTGCCGGTGAATCTCCCCCTAAATCCAAATAAATTTCCTTAAAATCCCTCTAAAATCTGATGAAATGCCAGGGTTTCTGGGCACCTTTTGGTATCCCGATGGACTCCCGTTCCACACCGAGGTTCCTGTCTCTTCTGTCTTGGATCGCCGATATGAAGGCCACGGTTATCTAATGATACAATACAACATTATTTGGATGACTACAGTATTATATTACACTGAATATTATATATAAATAAATTATATGTATATATATATATACCGGTGTATATCCTAATATAGAAGATGATACATACATATATATATATATACATATTTGCATATGTATATATATATATTATATTATATATTGTGTATGGTACTATGCATTTTTTTGGATAACAGGGATAATAGTATCTGACTACTATTGGATTGTGATCCGTGTTGATCCCATTTATGTTCCCATTAAATCCCCATGATTTAGTGATGGGAACTAGTCGTGTTATGTCGTGTTCCCATTAAAACCGATTATCATGACTAAATCACTAGATGACAGATGTATCCTGCAGGGCATTCCACTGGCGCGCTGCCGCGCGCGCGTGATGCGCTTGTCCCACAAGCGCCTTGGCTGTGGGGCAGTTCGAAATCGTTGCATTATTTACGTGAGCTGTTGGGTTTATGCTGGTGGTGAAACAACACAATATAACTACAATGTGAGGCCCCCAAGATAGCTAAGTTGGTTTATAACTCCAATAACTATGGTTTATGGTACTTATAACTATAGTTACTGGGGCTTTTGTTAACCAACTAACATCACTGGGGGGCCTCACATTGTATATAGATGATGTTAGATGGGCTTTATGAACCAATTTATTATGTCTTACAACTATAAGTCATGTAACTCACTGCTGGGTTTATATTAGATATATGGAACTAGTAGAAGTGAGTTGACACTAAACCAACAAACATTTTAAAGGTGAGACCTGAGGGGGGCACCGCATTGCAGGTTAGATTGGCATTTTTCCAGATTGTCCATGGCGTTTGATGAAGTTTCCCAACCATTCACTTTTCGCAAGGTAGATGGTGCAGATTACCAGCCAGAAAAGGGGTTCCTAATAAATATATATATATATATATGTGTATTCATCATCTGCACATATATATATAATCATTTATATATATATATATCATACACCCACCATATACCTATCATATACCTATCATATACCTATCCCATATATATATATATATACGACGCATACACCTATCCTCATGTCCATTGGTCGAAAGCTGCCGCTCCGTCGAAATCGTTTCGAAATCATCTCAGGATGGTCGACACACAGAGCTCCGTGAGACGGAGGTGTGGCTATGGCTGAACTGCGGCTGGTAAGATGGATTATTTAACTATATATTAATAGATAATAGATAGATAGTAATAGATAGTAACAGATAGTAATAGATAGTAATAGATAGTAATAGATAGTAATAGATAGTAATAGATAGTAATTAGTTAACTATACTTAATTATGAACTACTTATTAACTAGTAATAGTATCTTGGATTAGTATCAACTGTGTTGATTATGATCAAAAAACATCAACAATATCCAACCAATAAGGATAGACTAATTAGTATACCTGGTTAGATATGCCGTATTCGTACTTGGATTAGTAAATATACCGGTATTATACCAGTATCATCCAACATGTATTAGTATATAACCAGGTATATGTACCAATCCAAGTACTCATACGGCATAATATGTATGTATTAAGTTTGGTAAATGATATCTAATATGTATGTATAGATATGCATATATATACATATATATATACATGCAGGTTTATAGTCATATGTACAACACATAATTACATTATATGTATGTTTATCTTAGGTATGTGTATATACATACATATGTACATATGAGCATAGCATTTGATGACCGTTTGGACTACAATATATACATATGGCAGGGTTAACCACAAAAAACTGGTTGGCAAATACCTGTTAACACAATCAACTTTGTGTTGGTGTGGGATTGTCTCAACCTGCAGGATTTCCCCGAAATTTGCTGATGATATTCCATCTTAAGCGACAATCTGAGAACTTGATTTGTTTCCCCATATTTGTCCATTGATATCCTCATGTTTGTGGATTCAAACCTTTTTCGTACAGATATATGCTTTCTTTGGGCAACTTAGTGGTCGCTTGATTAATAGAGGGGCACCCCACATAAAGAGAAGGTTTGATGACTTATAGTTTTACCCAACCGGCTCCTCTGTTATGCTTCAAAGGAGAGCATTGGGCTGTTTGACATCGGGTTTACCAACAAACACGGATGCAGCCGACAAATGCAGGGAAGCAACAAAATATCTCCAGGTGAACCAGAACAACAAATGGGGATGTAACATGATGTAACCATGCAACAGTTGGATTTGGTTTGCACACATAGGAACTTTTAACAAGGATCTCAAGCAGTGGGGAAATCGCCAAGACAGTGATTTTTCCATCCAATGATTGTCCTTCATGACCAGCGGATCCAGTGCTTTGGATTCAAGTCGCAACGACAAAAACACGGGCGATTCGGTGATTCAAGTGCCGATTCGTGGATTTTTCGGGAGGCATTTTAGGATTTCAACGGAAAGATCTTTGCACATCAACAAGCGTTTCCGGTCTTGATTTCTCTCAAGTCACCAGTTGGTTTCTAGGCTCCTGTCATTTAGCTGTTTGCTGTGGAAGCCATGGCCCATTTATAGAGGGTTTTTATTGATTTTTACCAAGTAGACTAAGTAGACATGATGATTTCCGTGGTTGCATTAGTTTACTGGATGGTAAGTATGTTTTATTTTTCACCTGATTTGAGGTGATGATTCTGATCTTTACCTGATCTTTTCCAGAAGTTTGTCAGGACCAAGCAGACTTATATGGCCGGTAGAGTCCACCTATGACAAAACTTCTGGAACTATGGCGCTGCTTTGGGTGCCATGGACTGGCTGACAGTGATCAAGGGACACACAGCTATCAATTTGATGCAACCAGCATTCCTCTCTAAAGTTCAGCAAATCTGCAGGATATCTGTGAGATGGTCGGGCGCGCGCCACTAGAAATCCATCCTGAGGTTCAGTGCAGCAGGTCTTCCAGGTCATCAAGATTCGGATTTTCACGTTCTGTTGGTGGCCCCCCATCTAACCAGAAATATCCCTGCCATAAACCCTGTAAAGATGTCTATAGATATTTTCCTGATTAGCCTGAGGATATACCCTATCTAACTTGGCTAGACTAGTTCTAAACCCAACTCACCTATCGGCCCCTTCCTGGACAGGCTAGCACTGCTGTTCGACGGGTCGTCCTGGCAAGTTATGACGCGGCAACTTGGGATGTGACTCGTATGTTGTTTTAACATGTTTTAACCAGGACAAGCTGGTGATAAATGGTTTATTTTATATATATAATTATATGCATATATACATACATACGTATATATAAATACGTATATATATATATATATACATATGTGTATATATCTATAGTATATTATGCAAATAGATATTGTATGTAAGGCAATTTTTACGGGTCCCCCCTCCAATTTGCGATTCACAGCCTAGTTTCTTGCAACATTTTGGGCAAGTCAAAGCTGCAAATGCCTCCGCGGCACTTTGAGCTGTTCGGCCACAGCTCATTGCTCGGGATCGAAGCAAAGCTACATGACAGGAGCTGTTTGTTCAAGGATGAGGAGCTTATGATTATGTTTAATGAGGTTTACTACTGATTATATTCAGTGAATATGCTCTGTTAAACAAAGTTGAACAACTAAACTATTCAAGGATACTCCTTCCAGCGAGCGATACATCTAGGAATGGACGGTTTTGACTTCCACCTGTTGATCATGTCCATGATTAAAACATACCTCTGGAGCATACCGAAGTCGCTCCTACACCCCACATGACAGGATTCCTTTCGTAAACTATTTTTAGCTTGCAAGGGGTATGCTCTAGAGGTCTAGTAGATGTGTTTGTTTTTGTTTTTGTTTTAGTAATGATTAAGTATCTAAGACTATATCACTAGTCGTACTTGATTTCGATATGGTACATAACATTTTTTCCAAGTGTTAATCTAAGGAACACTTTACAGGAGTGTCCCTTGTTTAACAGGGGAAAACTTATCCAGTGATTATTTCCACCCATATAATGCCATAGAAGGTGAGGCATCCCCCATAAACCCAAACATCAACCAAGTTAGAAGTCACCATTAACTAAAATCGTTATATCAGTTGTCTCGGTGTTTAAGCCAAAATAACATTAAACTATAACTTTCTATACTATATATATTATTGGTGTATCCCATGGTATGCCAACGCCACGCCAGGTTCTGCAAGCGAGAAGCCGAATGGATGGGGGCGCCACTCGGAGAGGGGATCAACCAATGGGCCAATGGGATGGACTGGGAACCTACTAATGTGCCATTAAAAATACCCATGACTGGTCTATGGTTCATCTATGGTTAATAATGGTTAATATTTGGGAAGTACCCTCTGGTTGTTTTAACGCAGCGAACCGGAGAAGAACTAAAAAAAATAATAATAGGTAAATCATCAATTAAAACATCTATTTCTATGGGCCATGGCTTCCATGGCTATGGATGGGATATTTACCTACAAAACTGGGTGATAAATTAGGCAAATCTTGATAAATATTCCATACATGGAGCGGGTTTGATGACCTCACTGTCCTCCAAACAAGCCTGGAATCATGGCGGGGAATCATCCCAAAATGGACCAACATGGCCCAGATTCTTTGGAAAAATATCTGACATATCAAATTGTTTGGAAAATGGTGGTAACCAGCAACATCTGATATCCATTATCTGACATATCTGTTCTTTTTGGAAAATGGTGGTAACCAGCAACATCTGATATCCATTATCTGACATATCTGTTCTTTTTGGAAAATGGTGGTAACCAGCAATGATGGGGATACAATACTGATTTAGTGATGATATAATGATGATATAATGGCGATCTAATGTTCAAGATAATGGGAATAGAATGGGAATCATGTTGGCAAACTATGGCTCATGGATGTGGAACAGGGGGATATAACGAACGAATGAACGGGTTTATAAACCAACAAACATACTGTATCTGATTGGAATATACCCTCTGATTATTTAGCATAGCTATGGAACATGATGGGAATACCGACGGAGGATCATCTTCGGGTCCTCGGGTCCTCGGGCGCGTGGTCAATAAGCCTAGTTATGGTAAGTCCCCCATTACGATGGTTATCCATTCATTATGGCTGATAATATCTGATAACTACGGGGAACTTACCAAAACGGTGATATATAACTATTAGTTCTAACTTCTTATAACATGCCATATTATGGGGATATCATGGGAAAACATGGAACTTAATTAATGAGAACAAACATGGGGATGTATCACCAATTTGAGACACTAGTTGGAACATGGTGATCAGCTTACAATGGGGATATATGAGATAGTAGATATTTATTAGATGATATGAGTGGGGATGCAATGAGATATATACCGACATTGAATATTTGGGTGTGTTTGAAATGAGGAATACACGCAGTGCAGGTGCCCTATTTATGGTGGGAAACATGATGATTCACCAATGGATGGTGTTGGGGTTACCCTAGTTTTTCAGACAAACCCACATGGGGCAAGGTTAGATTGTTTCGTACTTTTCAAGGTGTATAATATATATATATAGTATAGTATATTATATTTTGTATTTTATCTATATTGTATTGTATATTATATATATTATATATGTTTGTATATACCAGCTCTGACAAGCAGTGGGTCTAAGGTTGGCAATGAGACTTAAGATGATTTAAGTTCCAGGGAAGCCGAATTACGAGAATTGGATGGCCGAATTTGTTGCGTTTCTTTTGGTGTTGATACCCCAGTTGGGGGACGTTCTAACCATGGCTATACTGACCAGAACTAGTCCGTGGGAAGGTCATTCAAACAGCCCTGATACAATTTAAGACATGTGACCCAACATTTTTTGAACAAATTCCAACAGAAAAAGAATCCTCCGAAGTCATACTTCCTTTGGTTTTTGGCTTTGCTATCACGGAAAAAGAATTTATTGTTTGATGTGTTTGATCCAACCGCCAGGTCCTTGGCCATTTCGAATCCCCCATTTTTTCGGGGTTGATTCTCTCTACTGGGATGATTCATGGTTGGTTACTGAGAGATAACATTGGGTTTTCCTGGTTTACTACCATACCTTATATAACATTATTGTTGACAAGAATTATGATTTGCTTTGAGATTGTCCTGTAACTGTTGATTTGTTTTTCAGATAACCAACCAATGTTGGGGAGAGAATCATCATCAGCAAAGCCTTGAGGTATGAGTTTACGCACCTCTGCCATGCATCTTGACTGCAGTGCTGGTGTGCAGGAAGAGTCTGACTCGTAATTTAATGCGATTGGCAGTGGAACTAGATTCGATTATTTTCCTTTTTTTCACATATCATAAGCAAGAGGCAGATGTGATGTTCCATTACGATCTGTGACTTATTGTGACATGTCCAGATGTGATGTCCAGAGACGTGACCGATTTCACGCACATTGCCACTATGTGCCACTTAGACCACCAACCTCTACAAGCAGGGTTTTTTCTCAGCAGGTGATGCGTTCAAGGCGGAGTGGATGTTTAACATGGGATTGAATAAGATTAAATGGGATGGACATGGGATAAACATGGAATTAATCAGGACTACAACATACTAAAACATCCATGTCCATTGTTTTTGTTGATTATAGAATATCAACATGATGCAATAGTTAGTCAAGGAGTAATGGAAATGGATGTCTCATCATGATGCACTTGGCAGATACAAAAACAAGTATGTTGCCAGTGACTAGCTGAAGAATAGATATGGATAGATATGGCATACATGGTCCAAAACGTTTCAATCCTAAAAGTGGGGGTCAATAGGTTTGACTCATACCGCAGCGGGTTTAACTACACTCTGGCTCCCTGAGTTCATTATGAAATCCAACCACCAATCAGGGCTTATGAAACCATCGGGGCTTGTTCGCCATAGGAAGTCCCAGTAACTTTGACGTGACATCCCAGCTACTTATAGGCCACTATCCAGCTGCTAACTGGGATGCACATCCAAGTAGCTTCCTGGTTTCCAACGGAACTTGGTTTCGAAACCAGTTGTCAAAAAAAAACAACATAAGACAAATTGAAAGGAACAGCAATTGTTTTTTTTGCTTTTTGCTGCCGCAATATCTATGTCTATATCTATATCTATATATACTGTATATATATATACATCTTATATATATATATATCCATATTTATATCTATATATCTTTTCTGCTGTGTCCCAACGCACTATGCTGATGTGCTCACATGTCTGTCACTCTCAGTTCATTTTCTTCCTGAAAGTGCTACTACCTGCTCTTCATTTCTACTTGCGCACGTACTTTCTTTGAGTGGGACCATGAGCCGTACCGTGTTTCGAAGAGTATATATATATATATACATATGATTATATGTATATTATATTATGTTTAATATATGTTTCAATGTTCAGAGACCCATAGATTCATCCCTCCAATTTTGGGGTCAAACACCATCTCTTCTGGTCAACTTGGGGCATCATCTTGCCATCCTTGCCATGGCCATGGCTGTAGCAGGTCAAATCCTTCATTGGCCAGTCAGTTGCCCTTTGGTAAACATACAAAAAACTACGGAACATCATCATTTTTAATGGGAAAATCAACTATAAATGGCAATTTTCAATAGCTATGCTAAATTACCAGAGGGTACCTTACACAATGGTATTCATCAATCGTCATCAACCTTGAAAAAAAACATAGGGGTGATACGTCTCTCAAACTGGCTGCTGTCTAAAAAAACTACATACATAATCACACATACATATATATATACATTATACATATATATATATATATATATACATTATACATATATAACCCCGCAATTATGACAAAGCACAACCAAACCGCGTTTAAATGTGTGATTTCTGAGTCTGGATGGATCTCTCTTTTCGGGGGGGTTAGGTATCCCCATGAATTGGGGTGTGATATTCCTGTTTCAAAAAGAACGTGTTGCTTGAACCAGAAAAAGATATGGTTTCATCATATGTGGATGGGTCAACAGTCAAAAGATTACCAGGTTGTGATCCCTAAAGACCATCAACTTCTTGTAAATCCAATCATAAAGCATTCGAAATGATGGATTATTCATCATAATCCAATCATAAAGCATGCAATTCATCCAATAATCCATAAAAGTGTAGTTTTATTCATGGATTCATGGATTTAGCACATGATCTTTGAGTGTGCTTGGAATCCCATATTTGGAAGGGACATCTACGGCCCCATTGTTGTCCAAAAGAAACCGGCTTTCCGAAGTATAGCAAGCAGCCCCGGAAAAGATCGAAACGTCAATTCCGACAGAAATACACACTGTTATAATACGAATCATGGTTAATAAGTGAAATCATCCCCAAATGGCCCAACAATTCAGGTTATGTGAAATAGTATAATTGACCCAGATTTATATTTATAACCATTATTCAATATTATTCATCACTATTAACCGTATAATATTAACCATATATTAACCATGAAAACTACTGTTTTGTCGAAGGTTTCCTGTAGATCTTTGATCCAATTACCATGTTTTTGGCCGGTGCTTTCTGGCCAGATCTTCTATGAGACTCCTGGACTGGTGGATCAGAGGATGGCGCCTTGGCGATTTCACCATCATGATAATCCATTGGTTAAGATGGGGATTTATAGGGGATTTATAGGGGATTTATAGGGATTTATAGGGGATTTATAGGGATTTATAGGGGATATAATGGATAATACCATCTGGTTATGACTGTTACATAGCGATGGAAAATGGTGATGGCCCATAGAAATAGATGGTTTACCGAACTTAAAAATGGTGGATCTTTCCATGGCTATGTTAAATATGGTAGCAAGAACCAAGAACAAATGGAATCTAAGTCACAGACAGCGAGTTTTGAGCAGAAATCAGATGAAACAACACGAATGAGATCTGGTCCCTTTTTAAAAATGAGTCGCTTCGCATTCACGGCTTGATGTTTTTCAGCCACAAGTTGGGTAGGCCAGGTTGACCAACCTATGGGGACAAACCTTGGCATGTGATCTGGTCTCAATGCTTCAGATTTAGAGATAAAATTCATGTAAAATCATTGGGAAATCTCCGCATGTAGTTTCCCATAAACCATCATAAACCAACCGAAAAGTAAATAATTGATAGGTCTGATAGGTTATTCTTGTTCTTTTTGGGTCAAGCTCGGTGTAGTTTAAAAGGCGTGTATTGACAGCTGCCAGACTGTAGCTCCCTTCACCCCAAAAAGACCAGTGGATATGGTGGATATGGTTGTATGCAGCCATATCATATGGTATGCCGTAAATTGGGCAGAAACTGGACAAAGGGATCAAAAAGACCAGTGAGAAATCTGCGATTGTAACGACCCCACTGAGATGTCACTGGATTGGGGTAGCTATCCCCAAATAGCCGAGTTTTTGAGGTGATTATCATTTATGCGGATGAATATGAGAAATGACCCATCAACGAATCATAAATAACCATACAGGGTAAACCTAAGATTGGCCATTTGGGCTTGTTTGAGTATAGTGGGACAACCTCCAAGACCGCATGGTTAAAAACATTTTAAAAACACATGTTCCCAATTAGAATTGCAATAAATGGATGGTAAATCTCGTATTTGAAGCCAAACTCATAAAAAAAATGGAGTAGATCCACCAACAAAGTCAAAATGCTGGACATTATACCTAATTTATTTGAATCATTTTGAATCCAAGATTATCCAAGATCGTAGCCATGTTTTCTTTCCATGTCCCAATCGGTACCCCAGTCACCCGTTCCTGGCGCTTAGGATTTTGGTGGCTTCATGCATGCCATTCCGCAAGTGGGACTCCTGTGCCTCGACTCATGGGTTTCAACGGTTTCTACACACGAACAAAGTGGGAATTCAGCATCAAAAACTCATGGTAAAGTGATATGTGGTGATGGAATATCATGGAATCCATGTTGAAATACAATGCTTTGCCACAAAAAAATCATGGTTTCCCTCATGGCGCAGTGAAACAAATATCTCATTTGGGCACAAAATTGCAACCGAACTGTATGATTTTGACATTATTCATACGAAAGATATTGATCCCGGGTTGCCCAGCAAATGATCTTTTCAGCTGAAGCAGCTAAGGTAAACCCCTTGGATCTAGACCCCAACCTTTTCTTCATGAATGAATGGTGAATGTTCCATGAGTATGTATTGATTTACAGTCGGGACATCAAGACACACATGGACAAACACATCGGGGCAGAATTGATCATTAAAAAAAAGGTGATGATTGCTACTCAGAATGGGTTTCACCAACAAAGTGCAATGTCATTTGTCCAAGTGTGCAATACTTTTCCCCATGACTTATTTGGTCTTTGTGCCGATGTCGTCATTTCTATCATGGTGACGTTTCGCTGAGATATACCTCAAGGCATTCCCCTCCAACAACTGTGATCTATTTGTATATATATATATGCCTCACTGACTATCCAACTGCTTGGTGGTTGCTTCCTTTTTGTTCAACTTGGCACGATTGTCGTCGTTCAACTGATTTGCATATTTGTTCAGATGGCTTGAACCCACCAACCAGACAATCTAACAAGATATTGCCATATAGCCTAAGACTACCCGTGACTAACCCCCTTGATTATTCCTTGAATGCCTATGCTTAACGCCTATGAAATGCCACTGGCACTCATTTTAGAGGGCCAAGCTGGCGGGTTGAAACTGGAGGCATTTTGTAGAAGGGCTTCGTTGCTTTTCCCCCTATAAAAATTGATCATGCTGTTAAAGGAAAGTGCCTTTGAAGGAAACTGGGGCAACCCAAAGTTTTAAGAACATTAAGAACACAGTGAGACAGTGGCAGGAGGAGGAACACTAAACCCTACTACAACTCGCACAGCTTAGGTGCGGTCTGAAGATCCTACAAGTGGACTGGTCTAGAGTCATGATGGGCAGTTCTGAGAAACTCAAGCACGTAAGAGGAAGTGTCCAGATCATCACAGGCCTCGCATCAACGACGTCAGGCTGGATCAAGGGATGTGCAGATCATCACAGCGCTGAATCGAGACCAGCTCTGACAGCAATAGCAGCATTTTCACTGCAGTGAAGATGATCAGATCATTTTCGTGCATTATATTTTCCAGAAGGGGTAGGTCAACCACCAACCAGATATATATATATATGTAATATAACTATATAATCATTCACTTCATTCACTTCTGATCTTCCGAGAATTCTCGGAGGGAGGTTCACTCTTTCCCATGCGAACAAAACCGAGGTTTGGCAAGGACGCCAAAGAGGCGGCGGAGATGTTCGCTTCGGCGGTAGGCCGATGGGATATGGGAGGATGTGGAACATGGATGAGCCATGATGAGCCCAAATTGCTAGCCATGAATGGTGATTCATAGGTATCATGGGATATCAATATCCATCCATAATCCATGTTTATATCAATTCATACCTAATATCCGTGCGTGTAACGGGGAAATTTCCAGCGAACCATGGAGCTGATTGCCGGAGGCTACGTCGCAACGTCACTGAAATGATGGGAACTGGTTTTTCTGAGAAGTATCCCAAGATGGCCGAACTTTCCAGGTTAGTGAATTATGGTAATTTATCCAGATATGTATGTATAAGTACATATATATATATACATTATATCATATATAGAATTATATCATATATAGAATTATATCATATATCATATATCATATATATATATACATATAATATGTTTACTTACATATACAACAGGTATTATCAGATACAAACACGCAAACTTTGTCGCAATCGTATTGTCCAGGACGCATGGATACCGACCAGGCAGGGGGTGGTGCTGTGGATTGGGGGTTAAAAGCTGGTGGATGGCACCTCGAGCTAAATGAATGGATCAATTGGATCAGTTGTTTGACAGTTGTTTGAAACTATATATGTAGTAGGCAATATATATATATATAGTATGCAATAATATGTTATACATATATATATATATAATAAATATAGAATTGACATTACGTCACCTTTTTGGATGAAAAGGTCGAAATTGGATGCCCCCCAGGATTGCTGGAACTATGCATTTATATACTTGTTCTATTGCAGAATAGGTGGGAGCATCATCCTGATCGGCAACCTGTCGGCAGATCAAACATCGCCACAGAAAATCCGCATCTGCTGAAGACATGCGAAGTTAGCTGCTGGATATTCATCCAAAAAAGGATCCCATAACTGGTTGGTGGTTGGAACATGTTTTATTTTTCCTGTTGGGAACAAAATTTTCCCATTTGGCTTTCATATTTTTCAGAGGGGTTGAAACTTACCACCAACCAGATAATGACGTGTTTTTTAGCATCTCCAGGAGACGGTTCGAAGGGTGAAGCTCCGGATCAAGCAGGCCTGATTGGAGTGACTCCAGCTCAAGCCATGGGGCGCTGTCCATAGCCATGGGGGTACAGTACCCCAATAGATGGATGGTTTATAGTGGAAAATCCCATTAAAATAGATGATTTGGGGAATTTGGATGAATTTGGGGCTACCCCTATTTCAGGACCTCCATATGTTCTTTATCTTGGTTGTGTACATCTAACCTGTGAAGCTAGAAAGGATGTGAAAGGATTGGTTCTACAGACGGCCATAGAGGGTCTTTTTGTCTTTTTCTAAGCCCTGACGTTTCTGAGTTCAGCTGTTGACGTTTGAGGTAAATCCAGCCTGGTAATAGGTAGTTGCGAGTTTATTGACATCATGTCATAATTGTATATAGTAGTAATAATAATAATCATCAGCATCATCATCAGCATCATCTGCATCATCATCCATCACGATAGTATAATGTTATATCTTTATTATCACCATCATATCACTACGACGTATCATCATTTTAATATCCCATTGATCATTGTATTGCCATAATGTTCATGATGTTCATCATCATCCATAATTCCCATGAACATCATGAACATCATGAACATCATGAACATCATGAACATCATGAACATCAACATCATGATTTCTGAAGCTCACGGTGATCGCTTCACCAAGCCAGGCTGCCGCCAATGCAGGTACCAGCGGCCGCAAGCTCAGTGGGACCCATGACAGTTGCGGGGCCTGGGGCCTACAGGTTGGATTGTGATGACCCAACATGAGGTAACTATGGACCCACTTGGATGTGCATCCCACTGAGTAATATAATAGTGGATATTCATGGGTATTCCATATATATATATATTATGAATATATATATATATAACTTTATATAACTGCGGGTATGAACCATTTACCAAGTGGGATACAAGTAGAAATAGCTCATTTTGAGCATCAACGAAAGCATTTTTTGGGGGGAGCCAGTCATTTTGTTCCCATTCACCCATATGGGCTGGTGAAGGGCTTTCGGGCATAAAACATAGGCAGCATATATTCTTTGACCAAAGGGGAACATATGAAATCTATGGTTGATTTATAATCCAATGGTTTCTATATAGTTTTTCTATGTATGCTTTTGTTTTAATGGTATTCTATGATATGGATAATATGGTTTCTAATTATACCATTTATAATCCAATATATATATATATATTTCTATGGTATTCTATGATGATAAATCGTTAGATATTTGGGAACCATTTCTATGAGCAAATCTGGGTCCCAGCCATTCTCACTGACCCCCTGTCAGTTCTATGCAGCACATCTCCATTGCTAGACCTTGGGGGGTGGTTTCAAAGATGTTTCTGATTCTTAGGTTAGTCTGTATATAATATGATTCTAGTTGATCAAAATTGCTCGGAAGGGTTGAGACCACCAACCAGAGTACCGTCCCGTATCTATGACCGTAACACGTTGTTCATGTCCATGTTCATCATTTAGTTTTCTTTCGGGAAGCCTACTTTTGATCCCAAATCTATTCTCATATATAGATACTGATTCAAGCTGCTCAACATGTGTTTCCATCTTGTTGTATTTCATTGCTTCTGGTGATACATGAATACTATATATACACATATACACTATACACTGTATAGAGATATCAATATATCATAAAATATATACATTATGTCGGTACGTATATTATGTATATATGTATATATACATTTATATTTGCAGATATGTTTCAAGAAATCACTAGTCCCATGCTTGTTTCGACCACGCCAAAACGCGGAAACGCGGAAAGCTGTTGCAGCATGGCGCCCAGGTTGGAGAGAATTCTTCCACGAATGCGACACGGTGCCGCGCCGCGGTGATGAATTTCTTGGGTTAAGCAATGGGGGGTTAGTGGGGCCTCCAAGTACAAACCAACCCATTTTTGGGGGCGATGATTTTTGACATTTTTGGGTCCATTTCCATCGGTCCATCGGTTCAATTCAACAGTGTAAACTCCCATCGGAGTGAGATGCGGATTTGTTGCCAACATTGCCGTTTCATGTGGTGAATTTCCATCGGTCCCTTGTCTGCCAGGATCAGTCAGGTTACATGGACATCGACGAGCCACTTGGATCCGACGGCATTCAACTTGATGGAACCAAGAAACATTGGCATGATTGGCAGGCATATCGAAGCTTTCACCCAGCAAAATATGATGGTAAACCGTTGGTAAACTGTTGGTAAACTGTTGGTACAAGGTGGTGCCCCAGTTCAGAATCGCTTTTTTGTGGTACATATACCTGATATTCCACGAGGGTTTATCGTATGTAGAACTCCAGTACTTACTGGGGCGAAACTAAACCAATTAACAAACATGTCACTGGCGCTGTCAGTAAGGGAACTCTCCACGCCCTCACCAAAGAATCTTTGGTGCCTCAGTAAAGCTTATCCAGATACTGTATTGTAATACCCATAGGATCCATGGTGCTGGTATATATGCTAACATTTGGGTATATTGATGGTAAATGTTAGCATATATACCATACATGGATTCTATGGGATATGCCCCCAAGATCATAGGTTTTTTTTAAATGTTATGATTTGATCCACAAAGTGCGATGCAAATCCCAGACTTGGGTCGCTACAATCAATAGGTTCTTGTTTTGCGGGGGCATTCAACACCCGTACCGCTTGGTGGTTTCAAGTATGTGTTATTCAATTTAGATTGAAAAATGCTGTAGCCGCTGGTAAGTATGATATATATATATGTACTGTAATATATATATTATATAATGTATATATTCACTGGATAGGATGAACGCTGAAAGATCAAACTCATCGAGGTACTACAAGCTGCGTCCTTTCTTTTATGGCCAGCTGCTGGGGCGCGTGTTTTTATGGATAAGGCACAGATCATCTCCCAGATGTAGAGAGCTGAGGTTTTTTGACATGTGTTGGCACAAGCTACACATGGATGTCCGAGACTCAGCCGTGCCTGAATGCTATGCGTGAAAAGAGGGACTTCTGGAATGGTCCCATGCAGAATGGGTACAAGGTGGTTCCAGGTTGTTGGCTAAGTTGTTTTATAAATCATACAGCCATATATAACCAGGATTTTTGGTAATTACTGGGGGCGCCATATTGTACCGTGACGAAAAAACTGTATGTTGTATGTCATTGTAGACCCCCATTTTTAGAGTTTCCCCCATTATTCTAGTTGATGTTTCCATTGAATGGCCGGTATAATATACCACTAGGTCCACACTAGTTATCAACAACTAGTACGAAGCTTCTATCAACTATTTTTGGCAAATGGTCATATATATATTTATATACATATACACACATACACACATACACACATACATACATACACATACATACACACACATACATACATACATACATACATAGATACACACATACATACATACATACATAGATACATACATACATACATACCTTACATTACATTACATTACATTACATTACCATACCATACCATACCATACCATACCATACATACATACATACATACATATATACATACATACATACATACATACATATATATATATACATACATACATACATACATACATACATACACACATACATACATACACACATACACACATACACACATACACACATACACACATACACACATACACACATACATACATACATACATACATACATACATACATACATATTAGCTGCCAGGAATTTACCAGCCAACCATGTTTCATGACACTGGAGGGAAGTCATGAACAACATTTCCAGCGTGTCGCGGGCCGCGCTCCAAGGACAGAAAGAGCCATTTGCAACTTCTTTTCGAGCGATTGGATGAGGACAGCGGACAGCGGATGGCCCATAGGAAGATGTTACACATGACCGTAGATGGTTCAGAAGTCGGTGTGAGTTGTTGGTGGTAAAGAAACAAAATAAGCCCCAAGCTCTTATTGTTGCGTTGTTTTTTTGGGCGGGATCGGTGGAATCCCTATGATCTCACAGAAGTTCAGAGCTTGAGGCTTGTGGGCACTGGTTTCGTAGATTTTAGTGGCGATCTCATATATTTGCAATGGATACCAGCGATCATGTGAATCTGTGGAACCGAACCCAAAATATCAACAGTATATCAGTCAGTATCTCATCTATTTAGTTTATTTGATCCAAGGGAAATTCTACAGGAAACCCCTATAATTGGTTAAAGAAAACATGATTTCCTGATGTTTCCTGAGTTTCCTGTAATTTTTCCCTTAAACCAATGGTTTATTAATTGATGAATTGGTGTGAAAACGCATGGTCTCAGGGTATCCAGTGGTCAATGCTGGAGGTGCCACGTCCCATATCCCTTCATCCGCGCCTTGGAGGATGACTCCGGGGAGTTGTCGATCGATGAAATGATCGCATTTATCGAGTCATGAATGGATCTGCCTGGTGGTTTCAAAGCCTACACCTGGAATTTCTCGTAACACTGAAAACCTACATCTCAATTCCAGCCATTTCGCATTTCACTGAAAAAGACATCGGTTGCCTGCTTTGGATTCACCAGTTGCAGATGATCCCATCGCTGCCGCACATCCTGGGACGAGTTGACACAACGCGAAAAAAAACACATTAAAAAACTGATATCTTGTGTTCTTGTGTTTGGTATACTAATATCTAATTAATATCGATGGAAACCAATATTTGATTAAGATTGATCAATATCTAAAATAATATCTAAAATCTGATTAATTAAGATTGATTAAGATATATTTGAAAGGATGGTTCACCAAACTGAAACCGTAAACTGTTGGGAACGTTCTGGATTTACTCAGGCAGATGACCAGACTTGATGCAATCGTGCAGCAACTGTACCCCCAGAATGTGTTTTTTAGTGGCCGAGCGAGCGATGCGAAGCATGTCTCGCCTGGTCACTTTGCGTGGAATATGGCTGCTGAGTTGCAAAGAGCCGAGTTTTTTGGGTGTTCCAAAGCTGAAATGCAGAGATCGATGTCCTTTCCCCACTTCCCCACCAAAAAAAAATTGTTGTTGGATCCTTTGAGGGGTTTCAGCAGGTCACAGCCAAAGGTTGTGACCTGCAAGGAATAGCTCAGTGCAATTTTTGGCAAAGGAGAAGCAAAGCTTCGACCGCTTTGGCCGATGTCCTGGACCAGCTTCAATGTGTGATATCTTGAATCCACTATATCGTTGAAAATGGGACAATGGATGACAATGGATGACAAGTACTGTTTAATGGGAAAAAAAACATGTTGAATCAGCTGCAGTTGATTTTCCCATTAAAACCTCCTATAAATATGTGATACGTCGATGTTTAGAATCCACATAGTTCGTAGTCCACAACGTTGATCCGGAAGTTGATCAGTGGCAACTGTCAGGCAGAACTCAGTGAGTTTAAGGCCCCAGGTATACCTCAACGAGTCGACCATCACCAGAGATGTATCAGGTGAGACGGTGATACACTCGGGTCATTTAACATAGCTATGAAACATGGTCCATAGAAATAGATGATTTAAGAATATTTGGGTGGTTTACTGTTCTTGAAAATGGTGATTGTCCAGTTCACAAACTGTTGAATTCTTAGATTACCAGAGGATAAATCCTACTATATCCGATAATATCCCATTATGTATATATGATTAATTGATTAGAAAATATATAGAATTATTTATATATATTCCCATTATATCCACATGATATTCCCATTGTTGTTGCTTAAATCTGTATCTCCCAAAATCTGTTGGAGATATATCCATTGCGCTGGTTCCAGTTGCGATCCACGCTGGCGCGGCGTCGCGTCGGGCGGCCGCATTTGGGTTGTAGCGATCGCTGAAAAACGTGGGAGCTGGGCTCTCTATAGAAATGATGGGTAGATAAGGGGAATGTATAGGGGAATCATGGTTATATCATATCCTTATGAAATACCACTATATAACAATTATATAACCATTTATAGGTTATATAATGTGGGAAAAAAACACAATAATTCATAAACCACCCATGACTGGGAATGGTAAATATACTACCTATTTTTGGTCCTTGGGGGATGGTTGATTATTGTTTTAACCACATTATATAATATCCTTATCATGCAACATTATATAACATTATATAATCGTATATAGGGGATTTCTGAATCATGTTTCAAATGATATCAAATGTCCATATTCCCTATTTCAGGTGTGTGAAGTATGTGAGTTTATCCAGAGGGATGAGGGCATTGATGAGCCACGGCCAATAGCCAATGGAGCACAGAACCCAGAGAACTTTCTATCTTGGAAACCATGACTATGATACATGAATATGATAAATTAGTGGGATATCATGTATCACCCCAATATATATCAATATAACATTGGGCTCAATATGAATATGATAAATATAAACACAATGTCGGGGGATCCCAAAATTCGCCAGAATACTACGCTGTCCCAATGGCGCATTTTTTGTAAGCCCCGTTCCAGTGTTAAAGCAGCTAGATGCCTTTATATTTTTTGTATGGTTCATCTATAACTAGGGTATCTATGGCTGGTATATAATTATACATATATATATGTATATATGCTATATATATATATATATCTATGATATATATGTGTGTGATATATATATATGATATATATATATATATATATATGATATATGTATATATATATATCACATATATATATGATATATATATATATATATATGATATATATATATATATCATATATATATATATCACATATATATATGATATATATATATATGTGATAATATATATATATATATGTTATATATATAAGATATATATATATATATATATATATCATATATATATATGTGATGTATATATATATATATATATAAATGATATATATATATATATGATATATATATGATATATATATGATATATATATGATATATATATATATATATCTTTGTGATATATAAATAAGATATATATATATATTATATATACATATCATATATATATATATGATATGTATATATATTTGATATATATTTGATATACATATATATATAAATATATATATATATTATATTATATTATATTTTATTATATTATATTATATTATATTATATATATACTATGATATGATATGATATATATATATATAAATGCAATATACACATAAATATGTATAGTTTGCTTTCCCCTTTTCTGTAGCTGGTTGCTGTCATACACCGCCCCAATCCCGATCAGTTTCCTGTTTCACCGGAGGTGGGCAGCAAAGTGGCGCAGGTGCGACGCGACGCGTTGGTTAAATTTGTTGGTTAATATGAGAGTCATGATCTGGTTGGTGGTTTGGAACATGGTTTTTTTTCCCTGATATTGGGAAGAATAATCCCAACTGACGAACTCCATCATTTTTCAGAGGGGTTCAAACCACCAACCAGTGATTGAATGGTGATTTTCATGGGTGGTTTTCATTTAATGGTGATTTGAGATGAGTTACTTCGGAATCATATGGAAACATGAGGAAAATCAAATGATTTAGCATGATTTAACTACGAAAAAGATGGAACAATGATGAACAATGATTGAACATGGGTCAGTCAACCACCTATATATATATATAGGGAATCCAACCATCATTGGACGTTTTTTGCCAAATCTGTGGTGCACTGGCTATTTTGATGTGCTCACGTGTGCTGCAACTCAGTGCAGTATGATGCGTTTTTGCTGTGACAAGGAGCGACACCATGCGACACCCATCCGGACGTCCGATAAAGACCCGCTTCTTGCTGCACAGTCGATCATGTGCTGGTGGCAAGCATGCACCCACGGGCGTGTGCGGCAATCTTGCTCACGGTCGGATTGCACACAACTAAGACCTGTTGCAGAGGAGAACAGGGACCGCTCGACAAAAACCATGGTCACTTATGCGTGCGGCCGTGGTGGCCAACACCTATTGAGGAACTGGTCAATAGTGAATTGCTTGGCAGTTTGTATTTATTTGTTTCATCCACTACAGAACATCCATGACGATTCCCAGTGGCAAACTGCCAGACATGGGATTCTATTGACTGAGATCATTTATCAGTGCATCCAGTTGTCAGCGCACAGCTTATTAGTTTCGGCTTGTTGATTTAATTTGATGTGTTAATCCCTACCTGGGAGGATGATCCCGTTTTCTACCAGCATTTTCTACCAGTAAAATGGATGCTGTAGAAGTTGGGCCTTTGACTTCCAGATATGGACGGCAAGTAGGTTCAAGTAGCCATGGCTCAAATTGATATCACGCCAGAAAAATGGTATGTATTAATTTCAGTGACCACCGTGGTATATACAATCGGTATGTGGTGTACTATATTTGTACTATAATTTAATCTAGATTATATATATATACTCAAATTAATAATCTACCCCATTATGTACTGTATTATCTGTACTAAACTATCTATGTATGTGCATAACATGGTATAGATATATGCTAATTTCAGTGATTATCAAAAAAATGTTGGTCAACATGGGTCAACGATTGTACCATAGATGCTCTTTTCCCAATCGTTGGTTTAGCAATAGAGGCTTCTCCCCATTGAAACAACCAATAGATAGATGATCATAAACAACAGATGAGCCCACCGCCTGTCTTCACATGTCTTCACTTGGGGGCTACAGTTCCAGTGAATCAAGTGAATCTATTTTTCACCATGGCAGGGCTATATGGCTTATATCCCAAGTTTTACAGCTTATAATACCTCGTTTACAGGAAAAATCTACCAGACATCTCCCAGAATAAACCAACCACGGCTTTCCCATCTGCTACCAGCTGTTGGTTGTCCCTGCAGGTGCTTGAAAAGGCCACGGGTTTACGACCCGAGGAGGATCAACTCGCAGGCGCCTACGACCGCTCGTGAGGTTCAAATACATGAAAGGATCGTTTTCGGGATTTGTGTCAAAAGGATTATGACCTTGGGGGATTATTCTTAATATATATATATGATATATGTTAATATATGTTAATATATGTTAATATATGTTAATATATGTTAATATATGTTAATATATGTTAATATATGTTAATATATGTTAATATATGTTAATATATGTTAATATATGTTAATATAGGTTAGGATAATTCTTGGTATAGTGAAACCGTTAAACCCATCAAAAAAGATCACAATGGCTAGGTTACTGAGAGATTTATAGCAACATGCTAATTAGCTGGCTATATGTTTTTACACAAGTTTTACTTAGACTATAGATCTAGACTTCAAATATTCATAATATTATGTTGCTGTATGTGTTTAGATATGGATCATGATCTACTGAAATAAACAATACTAACCAATTCTAAAGATACATATTTGTTGATGGTTGTTTTCTGTATCCCTTTTCGTCAACTGAAAAGTTTCCCAAGAATTCCGCGGCGCGGCGCAGGTTTGGAATCCTTGAAGGTCATCATTTT